TTGTGCGCATATAGGTCTTGGAGACTACAGTGTCACTCTGTATGAAACAATTGTGTTTGAGAGCCGTTACGACTGCAACGTCAAACTTTCTGATGTTATCGTAAGGTATAGCCTGCATCAGAGTGGTAATCTTTAATCAGGTCATTTATAATTATCACACTTTTTTCATACCAGTTCTTCATAGAAAATGATTTTCTATCAATAATTATATCATTATTGTACTATATCGTGGTTTTCAAATAAACTTCACTCTTTGTTATGCATTCAAATTATTACAAGCTTTGAAAACATCAAACCAGAACTTTACATTTACTTTGCCATAACTTTATATGATCAGTTCTACAATAAAACATTAAATCTATGTTTACATATATTTTTAAAAGTACTTGCCACTTGGATATACTTTTGAAAACTCTTCTAATCCATCCTGACTATCTATGAATCTATAAAAGTATATCTCTCTTACTATTCCATGAAAACTCATACAATATGGAGTTAACTGTTAAAGAATGTTTCATTTTGGATTTAGCAGCGATGTTAACAAATGATTAAACTGTGAAATTAGCAATGATTTAATGTCGTTTATTTTACCAATTAGAATCAATATTCTTCTATTCCATGATTTGTTGAGTGATTTAAGTTTAATCAGTTTATGATCAAAGTTCAACTTGGAAATCTCTTTTAAATCGATGTGAAAGAAATTCTAAGATGTGAGAAACTATGTCTGCCCCACTGTAAATTTAGTTCTGGCATGAACTGTTTTTTCTTACTAGCAATTGATACCACCTGAGATTTTGAAATATTCATTTTTTAATCTTGATATCTTGATATAAGTATGTTATTTAATTGATTCTCGAAGTGACCTTTCTGTATCATCTAGTGCAAGCGATGTATCACTCTGTATGATATTATTGCTCTGGTGGTACATTAAGACTACAGTGTGACACTAAATGATAACAGAATATTTGTCAAACAATGTATCACTAGTGTGGAATGGTCACAGCAGGAATACTAGATATGCTTCTGAAAACAATTTCCAAGTGCCATAACATAGAACTTTGTTTTATTCTAAACAATTTCTTACTTAAAGAATGGAATATTTTACCCAATGATATTAAGAATGTCCGCTGTTTTTCCACTTTTAAAGGAAAACTTATTCAACACCTTATATCTATGTCTTAGATCTCTTTGTGATATATTTGACATTCTTATTCAACTTTTTTACCACCATATTGACCGAAATTTTAGACTATGCTATATTAGCGTTTAACTATGTCAATTTTTATCTGTTTGCTATATTAGCATGTATGTGTATTAGGCACCAGCCATTTAATTGATGAACTATTTTTGCATGAGTAATTGTGCATTCTGTGATAATCTTAATTAATGTCGGTTATATATTTTTTTTTTCAGTTTAAAATCCCATTGATGTTTTATATGTAGTTTGTAGTCTACACTTGATTCATGCATGTAACTTTGTAGATTTTAACTAACATTATTTTACTAACCAGATGACCATGTGGAAGATTAGCCGTTGGCTAAACATGTTTTATATCCTCAATAAATAAATTTTACTATTATTATTATTATCATTATTATTATTACATAGATCTCGTGGTCCGTTAAGACGACAGTTGCCACTAAATTAGCCTTGTACTTGCGATCGTTTAGGATTGCAGTGTGACCCTATAGAACCTTTATGTCATCGTTGCTTTTGTAGTCTGTTAAGAATACAGGGTGACATTTAATGGTATTATTTGTTCTTGCGGTCCGTTAAGACTACGGGTTGACACTATAGGATAGCATTGTTCTTTTGTTCAGATCACGGTGTAACATTGTACATGTGGGCTGTTAAGTGTGACACTCTCTGATATATTTGTACTTGTTAGCCGTTGAGACTACAGCATGACACTATATGATGTCATTAAAATCGCGGTTCATTAAGACTACAGCATGACACTATAGGATGTCATTAAAATCGCGGTCCATTGAGACTACAGTGTGGCACTATAGGATGTCATTAAAATCGCTGTTAATTAAGACTACAGCATGACACTATATGATATCATTAATATCGCGGTCCATTAAGACTACAGCATGACACTATAGGATGTCATTAAAATGGCGGTCCATTAAGACTACAGCATAACACTATAGGATGTCATTAAAATCGCGGTCCATTAAGACTACAGCATGACACTATAGGATGTCATTAAAATCGCGGTCCATTAAGACTACAGCATGACACTATAGGATGTCATTAAAATCGCGGTCCACTGAGACCACAATGTGACACTATATGATATCATTATACACGGGGTCCAGTAAGACTACAGTGTGACACAATATGATATCAAATAACTATTTATAAGAAATCAGTTTTTATTAATGACTGGCTCGGAAAGGGTGTAATTGTTGTGAATGATGTGATGAAAGGTATCAATTCTGGAACTTGGAACCTTTCTTTAAACAGCGTAAAGGTTCGAAATATTTTATAGTATTTTGATAAAGAGCAAGGTTATTCCATCAGGTCAGAAAAAATGGAATGAAGTCTTTGATTTTGATGATTCTACTACATGGCACCAAATTGTTAAGCTACCCTTTCTGATAACGACAAACACAAAGTTCCAATGGTTCCAGTTTTGAATTAATCACCATATTATTTTCTTTTTAAAATTCGATTAGCTATATCTCCTCTGTGTATGATATGTAACTCTGACGTTGAAACTATAACTCACATTTCATGGGAATGCAAATCGGTTCAAAATCTTACTAGGTTTGAAGTTCTGATAGATGCGCTGATCATAGTAAAATTGATAATGAAATACTAATCGTTATTAAACAAGATATATAAATATATATATAATGTACTGTTTCCATAACTCCCTTAATACAAACGCCTTAGTAAACACAATCATAAAATACTATAACGTGCAAAGATTTATTGCAATTAGCAAGGGAGATAACTCTAAGGAAAGTTTCATAAGTATTGGAAAAAATGGGAAAACATTCCTATCCTTTACAATTCTTTAATCCTATGTTTTTCCTCATATTATTAGTTATCCATCCCTACTCTCTCTCTCTCTCTCTCTCTCTCTCTCTCTCTCTCTCTCTCTCTTTTTATTTCCCCTTCTCCCCTACTCGCTCACCCCCACTCTCTCTCTCTCTCACGTAAGTCACAACATAATTATATGCAAATATTTGTAAACTATTTCTATATCTGCTGTACGTGATACGTGGTTATACATTTAGAAGGTATGTATGTCTACTGATTATATACACACATATATTAGTTGTAATCAGTGCTTCAGTTTAATCAGTTTGTGCTGTATGTGTGATACATTGCTAATACATGTATGTATGTATGGCCTTTATTGTATGTATGTATGATGTATATTCATTACTAGTATGTGTGGTTAGTATGATAAGTGTGGTGTATCTTTAATTCTAATATGCACATGGTTTGTTTTGTATGTGTGTGGTGTATACTTAATATTGATGTATGATCTGTTTTGTATGTGAAGAATAAGAGGTCAACAAAATTTGCCATAATTTGAAGATTTATGAGGAGCAATGTTTTGTTAAGTGTTTGTGATGATCAAACTGAATAAAAAACATAAGTTAAAAAAAGTATTTGCATTCAATTCATTGTTTCTGATCGTATTACAAGTGGAAAGAACTTATACAGTTGTCATCATCATACCTAGCAAATTCACATACATGTATTACAAGTGGTAAGAACTTATACAGTTGTCATCATAATACCTAGCAAATTCACATACATGTATTACAAGTGGTAAGAACTTATACAGTTGTCATCATAATACCTAGCAAATTCACATACATGTATTAACTATTTCGATTGATGTTTAAAGCAGGAAAAACATGTGAATATCGATACATACTCAACACAACAAAAGAAACGTGGTGTTGTACGGCACTTTGGCGTTGCCCCATGTACAACCAACCGTTTCTGTACACGTTTCTATGTTACTGGGTTAGTTTGCGGTCGTCCCAGGAGCGGTTGTCCGCGTGTAATGACCGCAGGACAAGGCGAGGCAATTCGATTATCGCCCTTGTGAAAAGATTCAAGAGTGCTGTAGAGACTGCATCGCATACCAATGGTACTCATGGCAGACACATTAGTGCTCAAACTACCAGTAACCGCTTGCGTGCCGAGAGAATCATTGCGCGCCGGCCTTACGTTAGTGCGTCTTGACTGGATGCGCAGACATGACACGAAATAGGTTTGGGTGGCCTGTGAAGTTCACCGACGAGTCTAGATTCTGCCTGTATCGCTCAGACGGAAGAAAAATGGTATATCGGAGACGCGGTGAGAGTTTCGCCGACATGTCTCCCATTGAACATATGTGGGATGAACTGAAATTGTGTATTAGGAAACGTCAACCCAACCCCCACCCCCAACTAACCGCTCCCAGTAAATCGCAGTATTAGCATAAGTATGGAACAACATTCCATAAGGCGAATAATTGTTCTCCGTACAGGGATTCGTGCAAGAGGTGCCCACACCATGTACTGAAGTGTTATTTTGTTTTCCGCGGGTATCCTTTTTGAGTAACTACTGACGACACGGGTGACATTGCATAGACATTTTTTATACTGTAAAGAGTAGGTTTGTTCCTTCACATCGATATAAAATTGTGTACAAATTTCCGAAAATATTATAGGCTATTGATGGCATAATTTAATTGTGCGGTTCTTTTTTTGTTGAATATACATTCAAACTTTGTTTAACACGTAAATAGTACGTTCCGACACATTGATATTTCGTTTCAATACATTGATTTTTCGCTCCAACACATCAATATTTAGTTTCACTTTCTATGTAAACAGAGAAAATGAAGAGAATATCGAGAAGAGTGTCATAGCAGTTTTCTAATGTATTCATATACAAGCGTCAGCTGAAAATATAACTGAACACAAAACTGACGATACGATTCTTATGTTGATAACATCCGTCTCCAAACTTTCGCAATTTTCTATGGTGTTGTGCTAGGCAAAGACATGGAAAACGTGTTCATTGTAGTGTTGATAACTTGTTCTGTACCGGGACATGATGATATCTGGGAGGAGTTCAGGAATATATCTGGAATATCGTTCAACTTGAAAATGGCTGCACCCCATGTGTTGATGCCAAGAGTCAATACTCCAACTGCTAGAATGTTCAGCACAATGCCAGTTAACGCCTACAAGAAACAATTTTGATATCATTATAAGTATACCAAAGACCCAATGGGCCTAGATCCTTTACCTTGGTATCCCAACATGCCCCTAGCCCAATTTTATGATTCTAGATCTCTACGTTATTGAGAAGACATCGTTTGAAGATTTCCCTTCCCTGAACTTTCCAAGAAATCATGTTGATTCATTTGATCCCAACAGACTACTTGTCCAAAAATTGTGACAAAATCATATTAGCGTCTTAGCTATGGAACATGCAACTGACTAGATATCAGTAATCTTGACCCATTTTTTGAACAAGTGAGCTGAAAACTTACTTATCTGAAAATTTCATTTGAAAAATGTTTTATGTACTATTATAGCTCCTCCTGAATAAAAAAAAATCTTTTTACGTTTTGTAATCATCGGGAAAGTTTAATTGGCAATGGCTCCAAAGGAATTACAATCGTTCCTACAAAATCTTGAAACCGAGATTCGGTACTTAAAAAAGCAATAAGACTTTATTTTTTATATTGAATGAGTTATTAATGTGCGGAGTAATTTCTTCTTACCATATCTGGTATCCGTAATGTCCCAGTCGAAAATACAATTGCGTTTGGCGGCGTAGCTACCGGAAGCATGAAGGCAAAGGAGCAGGCAATACATGCCGAGATCATCAAATAAAGGGGATTTAGACCAACTGAAATGGACTTAAAACAGAACATGAGATGAAATTTCATAACGACAAATACAATCAGCAGTCAATTGCATTGCATTAATGTCAAGTAAAATCGAGTTATTAATATTCCAAATGTAAATGTACCATTTAAAACCTTTGAATCGGTCGTAATGCAACATTATAGATATGCTGTCTTTTAGGAACATATATCTCATTTCCGTTGTATTCAGCTCAAATTTGAAAATATCCACATTTAAACGACTGTGCAATTCAGCAGTTCATGAACGCCTTTGTCCATGAAACCAATTTAATATTAAGGAACTGGAAATAACCGAGTTATCCTGATTAAAGGTGGACATCATTTGCGTCTTCAAACTTTCAGATGCAGTTACTGAGGTATCAGTACGTACCAGTTCAAACATGATTGGCATAAGAAGGGAAGCTGTTGCAGTGTTGCTGGTAATCTCGGTAGCTCCAGCCACGATAAAACACAAAACCATATTTAACATCCAAGCATCCAAATCCTTCAGTACTCTCAGTTCACACCCAACCAACCGAGACAGACCGGATTTCTAAATGGTGGTACAAATGTTCACAGAGATAGATAACACCAAACGCAAATTAAGAAATACTGAACAAAATGCATTATGCAACTGTTTCATCCTTCTAAGTCTCGTCACTGATGCTAAGTACTAAAACCTAGTGAGAGATCATAATTCAATAAAAGATGCATTTTTTTCAATATGGAATAATTACAAAAGAATGACAATTACATGTGTATTACAGATGATTGTAGCTATAGACAATGCTAATTGTGTTTACTCAGAATGATTAAGTATTATTGTGAGTACCAAAATCGACTTACACTACTATGTTTAATTCTTGCTTGATTTTCTATTTAATACTTACTTGTTAATACTTACACCATTTCATTTATTACTATACTAGCACGTTTCTACTTCCACCAAACAAAATATCTTATTTTTGTGAAAATATGAATCTACAGTACTTATTTCTACATCCTTGTTAATCTACTGTCTTTAAGCATCCGACGATTGATTTTTCGTATTTCCACTTTTTAACTGGTTCCTTTTGTGCCATTTTTATTGTGGTTGTGGGAGGGGCGTGGGGGTTGGACAAAGATGACATAAGGATCATAATGACAAAGATTGGTGTTACGACCGTATTGCAAAATACTGGTATAAGAATGATATTGACAAAGATCGGTGTTAGGATCATATCGAAAATGTTTGATATAAGGACCGTATTGACAAACATTGGTGTAAGGACATATTGACAAACATTGGTGTAAGGACATATTAACAAGGATTGGTGTAAGGACATATTGACAAACATGGGTGTAAGGACCATATTGACAAAGATTGGTATAAAGACCATAACGAAAAAGTGTGGTGTAAGGACCATATTGACAAAGATCGGTGATAGAAATCATATTGACAAAGTTTGATATAAGGACCATATTGACCGAGATCAGTATAAGGATACCGACAAAGATTGGTGTTAGGATTGTATTGAAAAACGATTGGTATAATGACCATATTGGCAAAGATTGGTGTAAGAACAATATCTACAAAGAGCGGTGTTAGGACCATATTGACAAAGATTGGTATAAGGATCATAACGTCAAGATGAATATAACTAACATAAAACACTAAATTCTAGCGGAAAAAATAGTAGAAAAATTATAGACAGTAAAACGTTGAAAATGGATAAGCGTTGAAAATTTATCCGGAGTCCATTTTTAACGTTTCAAATGAAACCGGCTGGCTGTTGAAAATGGAACCTGGAACCTAAAGGAAAGATGTTTTTACCACTCGTTGAGTCATAGTACACAATTTCTGGATTTCAATTGTTGTAAGAATCTTTCAGTGTAGATAAAATCTTGTTGCATTTTTGACCACATTTTAACTTGTCTTCTTGGATATATGTTATTACAGTGACAAAATATCACTTAAACCACTATTGGTATCATTCAAACTCATTAGTTGGAAGATGTAAACTGTGGAAGGAAGGCCCTGCTTTAGTGTCAGAAGACACAGCGAAATTACATTACACATGCTCTGTGTGCTTCACCACATCAGTGTTATTCGTTACACATAACACAGCTAATGGTGGCAATAAGTTCGCTATGGTGTTACCTTTCAATGTGTTAAATGTAATGAATAACGTTGATTTGGTTGAAAGCACGATGAGAAAAATAAGAACAACGGTAAATTGCAAAAGACGGATTTAAGCCTATTGTCTGAGACAATGTTTATGGAACTTGTTTTTTTATTAAAATTAAAGGTGTTCTATATTAATACAAAGGGACTCATGCTTTTAGTTAGAGATAAGCCTCAAAATACAATATGTGTGATGATGATATAACAAGAAAGGCTCGTCATTATACTCCGGGGTCCCTTTTCAACGTTGAATGTGGAACCAGGATAAATTATTATAATAGAGCAAGAATTGTGGGTCCTTATGTTCTGGGGTCCTTTGTTAAGGTTGAACATGAAAATGCGATTTTATCAGTGTATCGGTTTTTACTACTTTCAAATCTAATTTCACCTTTCATAATATACAAAAAGATATGGATGACTTACAGTCATTCAACAAGTACACGATGTGTTTACCAATTACATTATTTCAAAATTTCTTTGAAAATAATGAAGTTGATGTTAGAATAACTTCGATCCTATCAATTCAACTTGTCTAGAATGCCTCGAAGTTGATTTCGGTGGTGGTAAATTAAATACACGAGATCCCAGTGACAGAGAGGGAAGAAAAAATATATCTACGCAAGAAATATGTAATAAAAGGAAAATTAGTGTGCTTATTTCATTCCTCATTAAAATAATTACCATTCTCGGGTGATCAATAGACAGGGACAGGCAGAGTCAATATCTTGGAGTTTTCTCATTGACTTATTATCAGACACGTAATGCGTCTGAAGATATTTTTCTCTGATGCAGTATTTTGTCCAAATTCTGGATGAGGGAAAACATTCGAGAATTGGTTTGCTAATATCTGAATTCGTAATGAGCATTAAGCGTTTCGTTTTATTACTTCATTCATTGTTTTAATATTTCAACATAGTTGTTGCAGTTTCACTCGTTATTATACCGTGGTGCTTGTGCGATTCTGCTTCATGAAAACGCTTGTACCTATGGTACTCACGAACTAAGCATTACTTTGGATTCTTCGCGTTTATTTTCCACCGCCAATGCTGACATCTGACATTGATATAAAGCACGGACAAAATTCAAAGCTGTTTTACTTTTCTTTGATTATAACTAAACAATATGTCTGCAATAAATAGTATTAAGCGTACATCGCAATCTTTCATTTCCATACAATAATAATAAATGGTAATCATTTAATATTCGGACATTGTAGTAGCATGTACAGATCAGTAACAGGCTTGACCGAATTTTCACACATTTGGCCTGTATTATATATATAACTTACGGTGCAGGCGTCGGCCAAAGCAAATCCTCCTCCGAGTAAGACAAGGACTCCCCATGCGACCTTCTTCTCGGCAGTGTGCCATGTGAGAATTGGTTTATACTCGGGTTTACCTGACTTCTCAGACTCTGCAACAAGACATGAAGTTACAGAGTTCTTAGTTATTAACATAAATAAAGAAAAATCAATGGCGATGTTTTTAAGAAAATTCCAAAAGTAATACTGAAATTATGTGTCTGCAGATGCCATTTGTGTAAAATTATATCGTACTTTTAGACTTCAAATTTCTTAAATGTAAATCTATCTTGTACTAGAACATGAAATGATCCAGCTCTCCTTCAAGAAGAATTTGCAGAAAGTTGATGTCAGCAAAAGTATTCTTTACATAAGAGAAAGTACCTATTTTTTGTATTAACAATACGTCACTTGACGCTCTTCTCTTTGATATTACCAGATAGTCTTTTCCAACAAAATATGTTTGGCAGTGTTTTTGGCAGAACAAACAGCATGGTTGCCATTAGGATTGAGGCCGTGGAATCCCTTACTGTACTCTTTCTAGAACAAATCGATTGTATTGCAAATGAAAATAATTGCCGATTATTCATGTAGTTAAATACTCAGTATATAACTATAATCGTAAATCAAAAGAGAGTGGAGACACTACGAAATCTATCTTTTCAGGAAAACGTTACTATAGGTGAATCCTTGTAAATTAGTAGGTTACGTTCGATATCTTTATGGTAAGCTAATCCTAATTTAGTGCTTAATTCATTCTATGCAATCATTAGTGTATGATATTTTTTTCTCAATTAAAACTGAGAATTATCATTAAGGATAACACTACCGAACACATCATATTCCTCGTCTGTTAAACTTTCTTCACATTGCTCAGCTTGAATACGAAATGACGATGAATTTGGAAAAAATTATATTCTAAACCACGTACCCGTTAGTATCCAAGAAACCATCTCCCCAGCCACCGATAACGGGTAGATTACGGAATATCCACAGCAGTGCCAGTATGGTAAATACTATGAGAACCATAATCTCCCCGAACCTGTTAACCAGCATCATAAATATATATTTTTCGAAAGGTTTGTAAACCGTATACATATCTCCACCAAGACTTAAAACTATTACTGGTAAACTAAGTATATACAACATGTGTCAAACCTCTGTGTCAATATGACTGACGTAGTAGGCCTATATACTTTGTCAATGTGACCGCGGTCAAAATTCGGAAACAAAACCACCGACCTCGGTCAGGATTACATTGATTGTGGTTTAAAAATGGTTAATGTTAGAGCCTTTATATATTCTCTTAAGCTGGGGTGGATTAGAAGACTTTTTAAGTCTTCTTCAAAGTGGCAAGTAATTCTAAAAACATGTAAACTTAGACCTGATGGCCAATCGCGATAGTGAAAACATACGACGCTGTCAAAATAAATGCGAAAACAAGTTTTGGTCTGATGCTTTTAAAACATATAAAAATCTACACAATGCTAATGACATAAGAACAGATAAAAGTGAAGTATTCCTGAAAGGCCCTACATGGTTCAACAATCAAATAGGTATGAACAGCACTTTTTCAGAACTATGAAATCAACTTTTAGTATGGACTGACTAGGAAAGAGTGCCATTGTTATATATGATCTGATAAAAGATATTAGTTCTGGAACATTTTATACTTTTCAGGAATTCACTCACACCTACCATATACGGACTAGTTTTCTCCAGTATCATAGTGTTCTAAACGATGTAAAGCATTTTAACCCTGATCCAGATTTCCCTAAAATAAGATTAGAATATCCTTCTATAATTTAAAACTTAATCACCACATTCTTACAACTAATTATGTTTTTTAAAATTCGATTAGCTATATCTATGCAACTCTGAAATTGAAACTATAAGTCACATTTCATGGGAATGCAAATCAGTTCAACATCTTCTCAGTAGCTTTGAATTTCTGTTAAATGCACTTATCATTCCATTTAACTTTAGTAGAGCATCCTGGTTATTTGGTTTCTTAACACAAAATTTAAATCGTAAAACTGATAATGACATACTAATTGTTTTTAAACATTATATATATAAAATGCGCTGTTTCCATAACTCTCTTAATATAAACGCCTTAATAAACACTATCATAAAATACTATAATGTACAAAGATTTATAGCAATTAGCAAGGGAGATAACTCTAAGGAAAAATTTGACAAATATTGGAAAAAATGGGAAAAAATTTATAAAACCTTTCTGTACATGTTCCCCAGCTTTGATTAAATAGCCGACTTCAGTTAACCCTATACTTATCCCATATTATATTAACTGTTATCAATCCCTCCTCTCTCTATCTCCCCAACCTACCCCCACCCCCACCCCACCCTCGCTATCCCCCCCGTGCTATCTCCCACCCTTCACCCCCCACGCTCTCTCACACATAAGTCACAACATAAATGTTTACAATTGTTTGTAAACGTTTTCTATATATGCTATATGTGAATAACAAGAGGTCAACAAATTTTGCCATAATTTGAAAATTTATGATGGGCAATATAATGTTATGTGTTTGTGATGATCAATCTGAATAAAAGCTATAAGTTACAAAATAACAAAAAAACAAAAAATGCCTGATGAACCCCATTTTGACGACTTATACACAATAACTGGTCATACTTGATATGTCCTAGTTTGTTGTACTCCCGTCGCACGACTGCCTTCATTACAGCCTGTCTGGCCCTGTTTGTTGCCTTACAGCACCTTCAAGTAACATAGATGATAAAGTTATAAATGCCGTTGCGAAGCAGGAGAGCTCTGATGTTATATTTGTTTCTCAGTAGATAAACCATCTTTTATTGATTTGTTAAACAGTGTAATGCATAAGGTAATGTTATCGAGAAATGTTTTGCTGGAATTACAGGGCTTCAGCTTTCAGAATTACCATTTAATTCCTTAGATACAATTCTACCTCTTCTATTTTCAGCGATGAAATATTCTAAAAAGATCAATTTGACAGTAGTATGTTTATTATTATCCTTTGACCTGAAAATTAGAAATAAATAAACGCTGATACACAAGAAACGCACCCACATCTAATGAAGACAAGTTGTAGCCAGAACCACGTGACAAAAACTATGATCAGTGATAAAGGAAATGCAAACCCCATCCAGTTAGCATAGGTTATGCCGGCATCAGCTGCCCCATAGTCCTGGAAAAGTCTGAAAACAAATGGCACAAAAAGAAAATAAGAGTACTAAAGGGTTTGTACAGAAAAGCATCAATAAAAAGGACGTTTTTCAATATATTATTAATTAGATAGAGCCAAATATTGCGTAGAGATTTACATCAACCTTCTTGTTTCGTTATTCAAAAGACTCTTAAGTATGTGAATCCTTGGAGGCGTATGAAGGAAACACGAGCCTAAATCATCGCCAAATGATCATTTGAGGATGGGCATTTACATCAAACGTCATTCACTTACGTATCTTTTTTTATTATTGTTATTGAATGATTTCAAACGATGGTCAAATACATGTACATATTATCAGTATTCATGTTATTGTGTATTAAGTATAAATAAGTTCGTGTTGTTTCTTAGGTATGTTTAAACTGTTTTTAATGTTCTGTAAAAACTGAGCATAATTTCGCACACAAAAGAAATTTTGTGTTGCATTTATTGAAATAAATAAATGTATGTGTAAGCATACACTCCAATTTCAAAAAACTGTCCAATTTGTAATTGCATAAGAAATATCCAATCATGTCAGAAGGTCTATACAAGTGTCAATCTGAATGTACTAGTCAGCCTGTATCAACATATGTATCCCTACACATTTTATCTGCGTATGTTTCATTTTCATCACTGCAAAACAGATATTCTCCACACATCAAAAGTTCTGTATTTACTTGTATACACTGGTCATTCTGTCCCTGTACTAACTTGTATCCCTACACATTATAATTTTTCTGTGTATACTGATCAATCTGTCCCTGTCAAAATATACCATATGTTACCATATGTCAGAAATTCTGTATCTATTGGTCAGACTGATCTCTGTCATAACAGAAATACCCCAACACAACAGAGGTTCTGTTCACAGTGGTCAAGCTGTCCCTCTGTAGAGAGATATACCCTCACACATTGGAAAGTCTGTATTCATTGGTCAATTTATCCCTGTCCTAACAGTAATAAGAGATGTGTTCCAACTCAGTTCTGTATGTACTTGTCACTATGTACCTATAATGATAGATTTGTCCCTACACATTTCTGTATAGAAGTTCTGCATATACTTGTCAGTTTTTCTCTGTTACAGCAGAAATTTCCCGAAACATCGTAATTTAATTGTCTGAAATACGTATTAGTTCCTGAACATCTGATCTAATTAGAGTATCTGTATACATCGGTTGACCGTCCCTGTAATGACAGACATTTCCCTACGAATTAGTCTCTCTGTATATACTTGTCAATCCTGGATAATTCCTTATAATCAGAAGTTCTGAATAAACGTGTCAATCTGTCCTGATAATCACGGATTTTACCTAACATATCATGAATTATTTTTGTATACACTGGTCATATGAGCAATATTTTCAAACACAGCAGATGCTCTGATACACTGATTAATATGTAAAATGTCTTCACAAATTTGATGTAGTTACTTGTCAATCTTTCCTGGTAATAACAGATGTATTATGTCACCACACATCTTCAGATATACCGTACATTACATGCACTTACTGGTCAGCTTGTCCCTGAAGTACCAAGTTAGGTGGAGTGCCGGTTAGTGTGGCCATCCCGCCGGCATTTGCAGCGTAGGCAACACTCAATGTGAATCCTTTATTCAAACGAATATTCTCTTGACGGGTTTTGCTAGGAAATAACGAATTTTGAGTTATTGTTAGCATTCAACGGAATAAACTAAAGCATGTTGATATATCTAATTATCGCTTTTCTTGCAAATGCATAAATGGGATATAGTTACGAAACATAAGAATATTTGAAAAAAGACTGTCTTGTTTATATATTTATCAAATGATATTCTTTGGATAAAGCTATGTCATCTTTCTGCGTATTACAAGTGTAATTTAGCTGGGTTTGAAGTCACTCTTGGTAATGAAATGACGTCACACATTTACAGATTACTTTGTGACGTAACAATGGAGATCATAGAAATGCAGCAGACATGAGTTCAACTTTGACGTAGAAATGTTCGTAAATGTTTGAAAAATCGATCAAGTGATGAAAATGATCTGAAATTCGTTTCTGTTTCCGTGTATTTTCTTTCATAATGACACTTCTACTTTTCTAATATATATTTGTGACGAAACGTGCTGTTGGTTTATCCTGGTTGTTCCCCTGGTAAATGTCCGCTTTCTTATTAACAAATAAGTACGGAAAACAGAAACCTAAAAATTTGTGAGAGTAAATGACAGCCTGAAGCTTTGGGCACAGTCCGTTTGACTGAGAAGGCCAAATATATCATCGTCTAGATATTTCATCCTTAGACTGAAGAAAATATGTTGATACACTTATAATGATTCCATTTATATTTACATTCGTGCAATGAACAATTTTACACAATGAGCATGACAGAAAAACAACTAGGAAACAAATTGATATCTTTCATAAATTCAAATATATCCTTGCTAGACGTAAATCGACAAAAAAAAAAAAAAAAAAATACAAAAATCCTCACTTTTTCCGGTGTTAGAATATTGGTGTAAACTTTGCTATTGATCTATCATTGACGCAAAACCCTCCCTATACAAGCAGACACTCTGTTTACACTAAAACAAGATGAGAGCCTGAATCCCAATTACATGTTGTTACTTTAAACTCTTCTCTACACAATCCTCATAATGGAAAAAAAAACCAATAAATTGTCTTATAACAGATAACGATAATATAAGTAATCCTTATTCCCCTTTGCAATTAGACAGTGGAATAAAAAAAAAAAAAAAAAACAGGCACAGACTATCAGATTCATTTTTCTAAAATTTCATCTTTAAACGGTAAACGAAAAAAAAAAAAAATTACACGCAGGACCAAGAGATCATCCTAATACATTAAACAAAATAATCCTTAGAATTTACCTTGTTACTGATCAACATTGTTACTGTGATTTTCCTAACGAGAATACCTAACACTTTTTAACTGTAATTCTTATTCCGTGAATTATGCCGTCCTCCCTCAAAATCTACCCCTTTTTGGAGATGCAAATTTCATTGTATCAGGCAAAATCAATCATAGGTTTATTGATGATTCTTCCACTAACTCTCTTGGAATTCAACACTCCATCAACATACACACTAATGCACACCAATACTCTCTTACGCACTCCCACACTCTCGCATAATCATACTTTCTCTGGCAACTCAAACTCTCTTAGGCGCACCCTCTCTCTCTCGCAAACCCACACTCTCGTTCCAACACCCACTCTCTCACCCACACACTCTAATAATACGTCTTTAAACCGCAAAATAACAACATTTATGATTGTTGTTTCTCGACACCGATTACCGAAAGAAAGGGAATTGATATTAATATATGCTGGTTACAATATTTCCACTGTTATATTCTAATGAACATAGATTGATAAAAATACGTCTTGAATGGACATTGGATAATAACTATTAAAACGAATTCATATAGTATTACTTTATTTATAAACTGGTGCCATGTCTGTTCCCTATTTTCATGAAAAATTTCAAAATAAAAACATATCTGAAATTACTAGGTCTTACAGATTGGCTGTGGTACCAGTATATTTGCGTACTTACACAATTCATTCAACCACAAAGAAGCATCTTGCAACATAAAAACAGAAATTATGTCAGTATCAATTTAAAGTGATTAACAGTATATTCTGCTAGCCATTTTGATCAAACTCAAGTGATCCGAGATAATTTAATAACATTCAAGATAAATGACATATTTATGTAACATTTGTTAAAGTGTGGTAAATGCATACAGCTTGGATTAGAATCTATATTTCGAGAAGTAAACCTACAATGTCCCTGTGTGGCGAGTGCCTTTTATTTAGTCAAGATCTACTAAAACCCAAACTCTCTCTTTCAAGCAGACCCCCAATCTGTCACGCCCATCCACACCCTGTGTTACCCACGCAATCTCTCGACATATGTTTAAATAAATCGAAATTTAGATTGAATTATATGCCTCAGGTCAATTTTCCTTACCTTTTGTCGCGTGTATACCATTGTGAAGGGTCCGATTTCGAATTCCCTGCTTCATCTTCTGTCAATTGAATATCTTGCACATCCATTGTACTGTCTTTTTCTGCTGAAACATTTTTGTGTATGATTATCCGACTTACAATATCTAAACACATTTCATTGATCTCGGAGGTAAGAAATATATATTCCTCACGAGAATCTTATTTTGTTTATGTCAGCAGCATGGATACATACATGAACACTCGATAATCACTGTTTACGTACTACTTAGTACATAACATTAATATAAACTGTTTTAACGTCATTTTTATGTAATGAAATGACGTCACAAACTCATATATTGCATTGTGACGTAAAAAGAGAGACGGTATGGCGTAGAGCTGAAACTAGTTCAAGTTTACCTAGTGATTTTTTTCATGAAATCTACAATGAGTTTCCATTTGTTTTATTCTAAACTATTTTATTGGTTTCAAAAATAGCATATCAAATGGAAACTCAACTACGAGTTCATACGTATATGTTAAAAAGATACCATGAAGCAAACTGCATGTGTATACCGATACAAATTATCAAGGAGACAAGAAAGGACTATCTCGATCGCGGAATACACATTAGTTAGGTTATGAATTAAACTGCATCAAAGTTAAAAACCAAAGTTACTGAATCCAAATTGGTAAAAATCAGCATCACATACCAGACATGTACGTCCAGTAAACCTTACATTGACATTCTTTTAAAATCATTCACCGATGAAAATTTTCAATCATAAAATTTGGTGCTAATGTAGTACAACTCTCTAGCTAGAATTAGTCTTTTCTTGAAGTCACTTTGTACTTTACTCAACCGCCTCCTCGGCTTCAAAATTTAGTTCTAGACGGACGAAACATCTGTATGATGCAGTTCAGTTCATTCAAAATAATATATACTGAATCATTTTGCTTAACTTATCATTTACGTGTTTTCACTTCGTTGACAAAGGTATGCCCTTAGACCAGTAACTTCCGAGTCGTTTAGAAGATTTCATCTAGTGCACGGCATAGCATTTTAAATCAAATTCAGAGACGAACAGAGAACATATGCCTTTTGGAATTCAAAAGTTTCGAAGTTTTCCTTCAGAGTATATTTTTATCTCTCTTGATAGGTCAGGATAATAATGTGTTTGTTGAGAAAGGCAAGAATGGAATTTTTTCAGACAAAAATGTTTCTATGAGTATAATAATATTTTCGCACCTTCGACAGGCATACTTTTGAAAACAGAAGGATTTTGGTGAGAGAGGCGAGAACAACGCGAACATTGAAGAAAAAAGAGAGCGCGACAATTGAAAATAAGAATTATTGGTGAATAATTGGTCATATTGAACTTTAATATAGTCTTTAACAGGAAGATGTCATGAATTGTTTCTCATGATCATGACTAAAGGAAAATGTTATCGACTAATTCTACAGTGATCTCTGCTGAGAACTTTATAGAGAATGTGTTATAAGCTGTTTCTCTTTACTAGGACCTTTATAAGGAAGATGTCACCTATTGTTTTCCGGGTATTACAACTTAGGCCGTAATAGAGAAATTGTCATCACTTGTTTATCACGGATATTTACTAAGACAATATGTTGTATATCATTGATATTTACAAGGACACCAGTTGTTTATCATTGATATTTACTAGGACAATCAGTTATTTATCATTGATATTTACTGGGACATTCAGTTGTTTACCATTGGTATTTACTGGGACGTTCAGTTGTTTATCATGGATATTTACTAGGACAATCAGTTATTTATCATTGATATTTACTAGGACAATCAGTTATTTATCATTGATATTTACTGGGACGTTCAATTGTTTATCATGGATATTTACCGGGACAATCAGTTTATTATCATAGATTTTTACTAGGACAACATGTTGTTTATCATTGGTAGATATTTACTAGGAGCATCCGTTGTTGATCAAAGACCTTTACTAGACCCTTATTGAAGAAGGTGTCACCCGTTGTTTAGATGTGTAAAGGATGGTTCACTTATACCATATGTTGTTTATTAGAGCTTTTTACTAAGACATTTATAGAGAAAGTAGTCTTCTCCCATCTGTTGTTTATAGTGGGTTTTTACTTTGGCATTTATAGGGAAGGTACACCATCTTGTATCATCCGTTGTTGATCAAGGATCTTTACTATGACCTGTAGAGCTTTAATGGAGAAGGTGCCACCCGTTGTATATCAGAGATCTTTTCTAAGACCATTGTTAATCAAGGATCTTAAATATGGCTTTTATTGGGAAGGCATACTTGTACCAGCCGTTTATCATCAGAAATCGTAACTAAGACATTTATAGGGAAGGTTCACTTGTTACGTCTGTTGTTTATTAAATATCTATACTAGAGGCGTAATGGCACCATACGCAATTTCTCGGGGGTTTATATCAGGCCCTTTATAGAGGTGTCATCCATTGTTTATTTGTTTGTTAACTAGGTTTTTACTTAGCCACCTGGTGATATCTGGTTCAAATTTAACTTCATTAAACAAAGTTAAATATGACCTGTTCAAGTTATATAAAGTAACAAATAGGATGGTTTCTTCATATCTGGACCTATATTATTATATCTAATAATCAAATTTATTATTTATCAAAATTGGTGTACCTTCCCTATAAATGCCATAGTAACAAATCCACTATAAACAACAGATGGGACAAGAATAAACAAATTTACTTTAAAACCCAACAGTATCTCTTTCGTGAATCAAACATATAAATGTTCAATTAAAAGACATATCAAGTGATCAATGTTATAGGGAATACATTTGTTATTGCTATATTTAGTTATAGAGGGTTCTGACTATTTTTAACTTATGATTTATTTATGTATAAAGGTGGATTTTATTAGTAGTACAACAGACTGATTGAATGAGCTAAATGGATTTGAATAAATGGATGGATCGATTGATTGATGGAGAGGTAATTCGGGTAAGTAAGCAGTTAAACTACAAAGTAACTAACAAAAAGAATGTCCAAGAAAAAATAACAAATTCTCTAACCTTTCCTCAAATCATTATGGAATGGTACGAATTCAATAATTATTAATAACCGTAATATTAGAGTTCAGAACAATGAGTTCCCGACGCCAATGCAGACAAAATAGAAGACAGTGCAGTACTTTATATACTTCTTGCAGTTATCTCGCTCGTCATGTTGTTTCATGAAGAATGATAGTTTGACTACTTCGAAATCAGTATCCTTCCTGTCACATCCGTTTGACATGACACACTAAAGCTTATCTACACCTACCTGATAAATTTGCTTCACTATTTGCTTCCAGTGCTAATGTCTGCTCGGAAACTGCGATCAAAATAGGGAGCATCATAGAAGTCGCTGCAGTGTTACTTATCCACATAGATAGGAACCACGTGGGTACCATCAGGCCCAACATCATTCTGGCAATATATATATATATATATCTGCAATATTGATTTTGATATCAATTACGTGTGAGCGTGTTAATTTACAAGGAAGCTACAGACGCGTTCAACAAGCTTACGTTTGATGCATTAAAATTTTCTGTTGAAATTATCGTTTTCGTAATAAATATAAGTTTACTGTAACGGATTAATGTTACCAGTTTACCAAAATAATTTCTCGTAATTAATGCATGTTAAAGAGAGACATCTATATAAATGTCAAATGTTCATTTGGCTACAAACGACCATTGTCAGTATTTATTACGGGTCCTGCGACCCATTCCGAGGTCCATATTCAGAATTAATGCATGACTCACACCTCTCACAATGGGAAATTGTTGGCAATAGATCACTTCCTATCATTGTCCACTGTAAAGCTAATCCCTTTTCATGGATAATCGTGTTATATGAGGGAATGTGATAGCATTTGCCATTTTACAACAAATACGCATTTTGATGCTAATGCCGTTGATTCAGTAGCGATTGGGGTAGAACGGTACCTATTGTGAAGAGATGTCCTACTTAACTAATGTTGCAAAATGGGCAAAACCGGAAGAAGCCATGGTGAAGCAGAAACTAGAGGATAGTCAGCATCGCATTTCTGTACCAAGTCCTCAGAAGTGTTCAAATATGCACAGAACTAGAGTCCTGAGTGACAAAAAATCATGCAATAACAACATGCTTCTCGCCTCTAACAAAGCCAAGGATATTGTAAGCCTCTATACCCTAACTGTTCATGATTTTCTGTATAATAGGTCTGTATCTGTCGCGGTACCAGGACGATGATGCATGTCCATCTCTAGTCGATGATTGTGTACGTAACAAATTTGAATAGATGCGATACATAGCTCATGTACTTGCTATGTCTCTCGAAACCGTTTTCTTCAAATAAAGGACATTTTATTGATTTCATGTGAGATAAAACGAAATTTTAATATTGAAAATATATCCAGTTTATTAAAACCATTTTTTCGTATTTTCAAAAAGTACGATCAGTAACAGTTTCGATCAAATGGTTAATTTTACAACAATACTATGAAAATGATACGGAAACATTATGATTAAATTGGAACAGAAAACGTATGTGGGTCTGAACGTACTGATATCTTGTTTCAGAATCGCCCTAATGTGGATGAAAAGTTAAATTGAAAAAGTCTCGCGATGCACAGATATTGATATTCTTAATTAATGTTTTCAATTAATACGAGGGGAAATTATCAAATGAAAATGGTTTAGATTGGAAGTTCACCAACATAATTTGGTCGTATAAGTGAAAACATCTACCCCCGAGAATGTTCTTGACACGGATACATTTACCACTCACGTATTCGGACTTGAGCCTAGACATTTTGCGATCCCCATGGCGATACGTCTGTGTAAATTGACCTCCTCCATAGCCACGCCGACTATCAGCCCGCCAAGAAACAACATACTTGTGTCCTCAAAACGTAAATTATTAGATAAATTTGAAAACATGCAAATACATGAAAAATCAAAGTACTGAAAGTACTGGTATGCTAAGACCATTAAAAAAATAAATAAAATAAAATAAAATAAAAAGCTTGCTATATATTGAAACCAACTATATGCAAGCAGTAAATCACTGCAGCCCATATAAAATGACCAGCAGATATCAGAAATAACAAGCATAGTAGTATTACTTATGTAATACATGTCCCAAGTAGGCTCCAAGATGCAATGATAGGGAAGTTGTCCATTTCGTTGGATACATTGTAGGGAATGTTAATCTTGGACACCATATTATCACTTTAAAGACTGCGTATCTTATCGGTTTAAGACCACTAGTTAGACCATCATGCAATTAACATGCTACATACAAATATTGGACAGCTTAATTTTCCAGATTGTTTGTAAATGACTGCATAAGAGTGCCAATTTTCTAAAACAAACATGACTTGTCACCATAACTTAAAACAGAAGATGCCTATTCTTCCGGAACACCTGTTTTTATTCTCCTTGTACTTTTTCAGGGAATCTTCAAGTAGATATTGTCTTTGTTTCAATTTAACACTTGTTTTGCTGGTTCTACAATTCTGTTGACATGTTTATATATTCTTTGTTCTCTAAAACTTGTCGTAAGATATTTATTCCTCTTGTATTATCATTTTTAACATCCTTACAGTGACCTTGAACCTTGAAATTTGCAAGATGTGAATATCTTTTAGGTTGTGAAATTTGATAGAAAAACGAGGGTAATGCAAAGGAAAACACCCCAATGCAACTATCCGTTTTTTGACTGTGACCTTGATCTTTGACATCTGACCCTGAATTTCTAAAGAAACCGACTTCTCCTCATAAGGGATACATGTTAAAATTTAATTAAGGTATACTAACTGTCTTGGTCTCAATGCGTTTACAAGGTAATCATATAGTACTTATGCAAGGACTGTGACCTCTACATTCAATCCTCAAAATCATTACTATATCCTCTCCACATTGAAACTGTAATCCAAATGATAACTAATACCCACAACAACCACAGCCTTAGTTATCTCCCCATGGTGACTTTTTGCACAGAAACATCCTCTGAAACACAGCGGCATGTGCGTATGTTCCCTAACATTCCTGCGAAGTTGTTGAAATTGGTCTACAGGTTTAGAAGTTGACCGACATGCCAAACCTGTCTATATTGACCAGTTGCCATGGTAATCAATATTTCGAGGGGAAAATGGTACATTACTGTAAAGTTTCATTGGAGTTGTCCAGACAAGATGTGTCTACAGACAGACAAACAGATGGATGGACAGATATACCCACCCTTTTGGTGGTATAAGAATGCACAAGAGTGTTTACAAATTCCATGTGGACAGACATCATGGAAAAATAATAATAATGATAATGATAAAAATAAAAACATGATAAAGATGCTTATATCTTGTTTTCTTTATTCAATATTCTTTCCATGCTTTGATCAGCAATGTAATCTTGTCATGTCAATATCCTAGTACAAGATTGCATACACAAAATTGTTGTAGGTAGACTTTTAAGATAAATAAAAAAAATACATGTCTAAGTTTAAATGAAGGTTTTAAACAGAAGTCGTATTATGTTCAGTATACAGTGATTTTTCTAGACAATTGTAAACTATAAACTCGGTATACAGCGATCTTTTCTACACATTTGTAAACAACAAACTCAGTATGCGGTTTTCTTTTCTACAAAACTTTTTTTTTTATATTGTGTACACTAAACACAGAAAAAAAAAGTCAACCTTTCTATGTACACTACAGACTCAGTATACAGTGATCCTTTCTACACAAACTTGGTATGACTAGTGAATCTTTCTACTCAAGTAAATTGAAGATTGTATACAAATTTACTACAAATGCAGTACACAATGATCTTTTCCACATTTTTTTAGTTTCCGCGATTTGTTGATTCTTCTTTTGTGATGGTAAATATATTGCCGCCTTTAGAGAGTACTGTGACCTTAAAAGGCAACATGGTTGTTAGCATCTCCTCAAGTGATTAATCATCTTCAACATCTAATTGGAGGTCGGAAAGAAGGACGTTTTTCTCCACCATAAGGTCCTCAAATCCATTGTTGGTCACAATGGCCAATTCCAAGTTAGAAGAATCAGTAGAGATACTTTCAACCATTCCAGATTTCTTTTCTTCAGGGACATCCACCTCCTGAAAGAGAGTAAGGGATATAAATAACTATATTTCTTTATTGCTATGATTATGTGCAAGAAATATACACTTCTGCATAAGCTTATAGTCTTGAACTTCCCAATAGGAGTTTATATTAAATATACTGTAATTAATTACTTTGACGTTCAGGACTGTCAAATTATTAAGCGATGGACAGCTAGCAAAATAATAATATCTGGACCATGGTCAGACAGAGATTGAATCATAAAGTTAAATTTGTGTGATAAATCAGTGCAGTATGATAATTTATTTTGACGTTTGTATTTCAAAAATTATTATGACTTGAAAAGTAATGTGTAATTTAATTAATTACATTGGACCGTCATGTAATGGCAATGCAATTTTCATAATGTAATTGTAATTTAATTAATTACATCATCATGTAATTGAACCCATGCCTGTTACAAACAGTAGCTGTCCTAACTGATCCTAAAATTAACTTTGGCTACGTCTATCACAAAATTAACTTTGGCTGTCTATTACAAATGCCACATTTAGCTACAGTAGAGGTATTTCAAAAATGTATGTCATTATAGCTGGAAGGACATAATTAATGGTTACTTAACCAGAACTATAGTTCTGAACAAACCACTACAAAGCCTGGTTAACTGTACTAAGAAAATGTCCTCTCAATTAATCAATTTCATTGATTATTGACATCTTATTGTTGTACTTACGGTCACTTGAGTTTCTTAAAGTTTCAATTTGACTTTTAATAAGGCCCAAAGTGATAATACTGCAATGTCTTAATAAGCTCTCAAGGGGTATTGGTTAGACTATTTATCCCATTTCATTCCATTCACCATGGAAACAAAACTCTAAAACGCTTAAAAACAGTCGACAATTAATGACAAATATTGAGCCTAAGGCTGTGTAAAATTGATGAATCAAGTGTTGAACTGAAAGTGGAAGCAGTTGACATAATACTGCAATTTCTGAGATAAACAAATACAGTACATATATCAAAAGTTCAGGCATAATAAGAATTGTACCAATTACACTTTACACATTCACACTGGGACCTAACACTTTACACATGCACACTGGGACCTAACACTTTGCTAGGTTTATCCTAATCTTTATCAAAACACTTTCCGGGATTTAGATGTTAATTGGCATCTTCATTATTCCCAATCTTTATATTGCAATCGTTCACATGAATCACTCTTCAACAGAATGAACGAGACATCATGTCTGAAAGACAAAAACTAAATTTAAGCTAAAACTATAACTTCACTTGTAAACATTACAATTGGCATAGCTGTAGAGTTCCCGTACGATTTCATACCCTGGCCTGGAGGTGCTCCGATCAGAAATTTGAAAGAGCTAGATCTACAATAGCACGGACAGTGACCGATATTTTAAAGTAAAATCGATATATTACACAGATAGATTCCTAGATCTATTCACGGTAGCGTAAGTAGTACAGTACAATATTACGGATAAGTTTTTTTTCTGTTTAATTTCCGATCTGTTGGGCCACTGACAGAAGTGACTGCGATGAGACCATTATGAAACGATCATTCAAAAATAAATTCATTTCAAAACACTGAAATACTGACATAACATTTTTCAAACGCATACTGTTTCAAAGGAAAAGTCTTGAAAATATTTTGAAAAAAGTGCCATGGCGGCAGTGCCCAGCTTGCGCGTCGCCGTCGAGCCTAAATTCAATACATGCGATGGCTCATTTCAAATGAATTTTTGCAAAAAATGCAATTGCTAGTTCAGTATAAGTATTGACTAAATTCAGCTTATATATATACATATATAGTGATACTTACCTACATAAAATACCCGCCATCTTCTTTCTGCCGCCGTCTTCTTTCAGGGTCCAGCAGCACAGAGCACCCCGGCTGTTTCCGTCAAAATTTTATGCTACTCTAAATCATTCTTATTTTAGTTTTATTCTTATTTTCAACTACATATTTCAGTATTTTCAAAAGTTTTCAACAGTATTAAAAGGGATGAAAATTTTCGAAAAGAAAAAAAAGAAAGATATATGACATCCACATTGCATCGCGCGGAAAAGAAAGTTAAGCCGCCATATTGGCATCGCCTCGCAAAATTTACCACCATAAAACGTGAGTCTTTGTCATTGTATTTACAAATTTCGATGTCTAATTATCATTAATACACAACACAAAACGTTTTCTTGATGTACAAGTAATGAAGAAAATGTCGATAAGGTTGTTTCATTTAATGACTAGCATCAGCAACTTGTAGGGGCGATAATCCAATGATTACGGAAATGTCCGGCAGATGGAATAGGAGTAAACTTTCGATTTATGAACCAATGAAAACGAAGTACTGATACTCAGGGGCGACAGCAACATGCTGAAGAGCATTGCAAATGCTCTTAGCATAAAAATCAGTTTTAATCGAGGAACGTATCAACGAATATAGGCAAAAACGTTTACAAATAATATTTCAAGTCAACAAGATAAATTAAAAACTCGTATAACGTTCTACATACATTGAAGTAATTTCCACAGACAACCTTGCCTGGCTGTACAGACAGTAACGGCAGGAGGAACATCGGCATCATGGCTGTGACAGTGATGGGTAACGCTTCTGTCAACCAGAGGATCGCCATGGACACCATGACGTAGGCACATTTAAATTCCTGAAAAATACAAACAGATAGAAATGATTTAGACTGTTAAGAGGAAAACTAATTCTCTGTTAGAGGCAATGATGTTTGAAAGCAAGTCTTAATATTTTCAGGTAGGACTGTATTTCCTACTATAGACAATGATATAAGTGATATTGTGTGATCAGTATAATGGATAAACCAGTCGCATGCGCTTGTATTGTATATTAACTACTAATTCATTTATGTGTTAAGTAGGATTATTGGATAATCCAAACTGTTCATTTTGTAATATAGAAAGAGGTAAAATTGTTCATATTATGTGGGAATGTCCTGAGGTAAAAAAGTTTTAGAAAGTATTGAATTAATGCTAAATGCACGCATTCCATTCTCGTTCAAAAATAAAGTTTGATTTATTATTTTACTGAAGATGATATCTTCATTATCATCAATATATACTAGAAGTCAACGAAAAATGTTAAGTCTAAATGTCTTGATCAGTTTCATGAAGGAATATCATACATATCAGAAATAAACAGTCAATAGTTAAGGAGAGCATGCAAAATTGAGTTTCGATAATGATTTGAGAAAATGGGAAAAGTTCTTGGATTTTGTAGAGGTCCAATTTATAAATTATTCAAATGTGTAAATTGAATGAGATTTTTTTACTTATGTATTCATCAGTCAACAACATGAGCCTGAAGTATTTTTCATTTTTGTATGCTCTCTCTCTCAATACAAATGCAATTTACAGCAGTTAATAAAAAATAGACAAACGTATTTGAAGAAGGGCCCTGTTGGAATCGCTCATCTCATATAGTTTAACCTGATGCGTACAATATTACGGAAATTCCTTAACAAAAACCAAAATATAAGGACACGGCCATCCCGCGTGCACAAGGATCTCCAATTGTGTATAAAAACTCCGTAACGCACACACCACAGTCACATACATAAAAGAGATTAAGAAAAAGGGATTAACAGAACACTACTTCAGGTAGCTTTGTTCATGTGACAACCCATGCGTGTCAGGAAAATCACACTTGGCTTCTATTAGAAGACGTGGATTGCTCTCACTTTTGTTTTCTATATATACAACAGGAAAAATCTTATTCGCGGTGTTTCAAATTTGTTCATTTAAAAACACACCAATTTCAGAATATATAACGAAATCAGACAGCGGCCTAATGTTGGATATTACATTACGTAAATTGTGAAATTAAATATCGCTCTTTACCTCCGTTTAACTAATTGTAATTAATTGTTTTTACATGATATCATTGTGTATCACGGGATAGATAACGTATATTGAACGTATGTAAAACAGATCTGCAACACCAGTACCCAATACCTTCAAAATCTCACCATATTTCACTTTTTCGCGAAACTATTGCTACGTAATTTGTTGTTTTAAGCATGAATACCTCTCGATAGGTTGGTTTTATTCGTTGCATTGCATTTTAAGTGAAACTGTGTACCATGTATGCAAATGAGCGTACACCCATACAGACGACTCTATGAGTCCTATATTAGAAGTACACCAAAGGGAGGATGGCGGGCATGTCTTTCCCTCAAAAGGAGGCATTCAAGCGTCACTCAGTTCGGAAGAATGGTAAGGCGATGATGCCTTTTAGTCTCAGTGACTCTGCATGTTGCCGGGCATTGTCCAATCGACTAAAGTCGATTCTCTGGCGACGTGAGGGGACTTCTCCCCTCATGGCTTGGAGTCGTCTGGGGATTGACTGATCTAGTGTTGCACTGTGTCTGCATTCGGTGGTGGAGGGGTTCTTGTGCAGCCCAATCCCTAGACTGTCCTTCTAGGATTTCTAACTTTCAGATAAGGAGAAATTTTGAAGTCCTTTCCTAATAGTATATGTAATTATATTTATGTTGGGCTCCTGGACGGCGTTAAGGCTTACTATTATTATCGATAACCACAGGAGAATCTTGGTCACTAAATAGCTATTAAAATACTAAAGATTCAATAGCATGTTATGATTTTTTTAAGCAGAGAGAGAACCGTCAAAATTTAAGAGCAAAAAAGAATGGAGAACTTTCTGATTTTAAAGATGACATCTGGTTAAACCTTTGCAAATCACTTAGAATGATACACATTACTTTAAGTACAATTTTTTTTATTAAAGCGAAACGAAAAGATTGTCCTCTCTGCAAGCTCTGTAACACTGGAAAGGAAACAATTGCATGTTTTTTTAATGTGATCAATTCCAAAATCTTATTCAAAGTCAAGAAACCGTGTCGAAGTATTCATATTATTTTTTATCAAGTTGATGGTGAATAACCACGACTTAACGAGTCGGAAAGTGGATTTAATGAAGATACAGTCAAATGCACACACGTTTGTACGTATATAGAGGTCTCACCCCTCTCAGGGGGATGCAACTCGCCTCTTCAAGTCGAAAGACCGTCGGTAAGACAATACTCGGAACGGGGGTGAGGGGATACCTAAATAGATATGACGGGATATGCTGAGTGACTCTATCTGTCCTATGAGAAATGACATAATCATGCCCCTTATTTTGTGGTTTATGGCGAGACTTGAAGACTGCCTTACAGTAATTTAGCTATTTTTTTTACTAAAGAAACTAACATTGTTGAGTAATTTAACATTAGATAAGGTAGACATGCCCTTTTCTGTTATATATATATATATATATATATATAAATGTATGTATTATTATCATTATAAAATGCATTAATACTATTAAAGTATATTTAGTATCAAGCATTGATTGGACAATCTAAATTGTAGATTGTTTAATTATAAAATATATACAATGTAACTGCAGGGTGTTATATGTGGTGATTTCCGAATTTCATTACTGCTACGTTGTTTTAATTATTTCAGTAGCACATGGATTATAAAACGATACCTTTCTTTCCCAGTCAAACAGATTTAAAATTTTAAACAGGCATTTTGCCAAGGGATATATTACAAAAGGATAGTGGATGCTTTTTCTGGTTTTAGCTTTTGTGTTTGTTCATTGAGCCGTAAAAACCGTTCATTTGTTATTTACGTGTGCCCCCATTCACTACAAAATATATGCTGTCTGGCCTGATTAAAGCCAATTTGTCGGCCAGTGAAAAGTGAATCTCTCTTTTGTAACAAAAATAATATTAATAAATCAGAATGACGAATCATAGAAATTGCATTGGTCAAACGGAAATTTATTGAGATTTTTATTGCCGCGGAATCACTTTCTTCAATATGGCAAGATATTTCAGTTGTAAATAGCTCAAATACGTGCTTTGTGTGTGTGTGTTTTTTAATCAAAAGTAAACAGAAAGTATTTGTCACAAAGACCCAGTCCATGATTATTTTAACATGAACTGAGAAAAGCGAGAGTTCATATCAAAATATGAAAAAATTCCACACACGTTTTGTCACTTTGAAGAAGATACGCCTGTTCATTTTGGGAGGACGTTTAATATATACGACTCAGTTCGTTAATCCTATGAATCTTATTACGTTTTAAAGATTGTATCCAGAGACCGCTGTACTTGGTCATTCTACTCCAGTTACAAAGAAATGAATTATATGTCGTCTTTAAAAGGTAACAAAACCTTCAAATGATACCTGTCTTTTATGACGTAACTGCTTTACATACTTAGAGGAGAAATAAAAGACGTTCTAGAAGTCATTGACATCGCGAGAATTATGTTTTTATTTTTCTGTTTTGTTCCCAAAGAGGATGAAGCACCTGCAGTGACTTATTTGATTAAAATAAACCAGATGCTGTTTTAGACATGTTATCATGACTTGTATCTTGGTGTGTTTAGCCTACCGCGTGAAAGACTGAGTAAACGGGGACATACTTTGTGGTGTGCTATATAATCAAATAAGTAAAGAAAGTAAACATACTCTGATATGCTTCTGGACAGGATAGATGTAAGTCGCTAGGGTGAGGGTTAACGAAGCCATGTAGTAGAGAACTATCATTAACGTTGCTGACAGCTTGACTAAAACTTTGTTTTATTCACATTTTGACCATGGCTGGAAACTGCCCTCAAATAGGACTGTATTCAAACATAGAATAAGACATCATTGATGCATTAATGCTTTTATGTAAACTATAGTAGAAAATAGTGAGACGGGGTGATCAAAATACTATAGAAAACATTTTAAATCTCCTGAATGAAAAGCGTATTGAGACAAGACTTCCACTGATAAGTTGTTTTTTGGTTCAAAATCGTTCTAGATACTATTCAGGCCCATGTGCATACAAAGTAGACGAATAAAGAAATAAAGGCCTATTTTTGCCTCTTTTATCTGACGCCTGAAAATATATCTTCTTATCCCTACTTCTCCTTGGTGGAAATTTATCGAAAGTGTTTAACACTAAAAGTCAGCGTTTTGAGACAGGACATACACTGTATAATATGGTGGTTGATTCGGGACATCGTAATATCGCTTCGTTTAATGGGAAGCGATATTGCGATATTACGATACCACGATGCGATACTACGATAGTACGATGCGATACTACGTGGTTTCGTAATATCGCAATATCGCTTCCCATTAAACGAAGCGATATTACGATGTCCCGAATCAGCCACCATAGTATTAGGACAGGTCCGCATTTTGACACAGGTCCTACATTAAACATAGTAATAATATTATGTAGGACCTACATTTAAATGTTAGTATGTTTAGACAGGATCAAATAAAGAAATACTTTTTATTGATACAGGGTCTAGACTAAATATGACTTGTACTGATACGGGACTTTCTCTAAATATAAATAACATTTAATATATGATGCATTGCGAGATACCAAACAGAACATTCTTTTTAATGTAAACATTACTGAGCCGAGACCAACACATATCATAGATATTATTGAGACAAGATCTACACTAACTATAAGCTGAATGAAGACAGAAAAAACACTAGATGTAGATTATTTTTTAGAAAGGATTAAATTAAATATTAATTGCATGGAAACAGTACAGTTGTACCAAAATTGTACAAAAGACACAAGTGCTAATAGAATTGCATGATACTGCTGTTTCTTCATTCGTCAGTGATGCTATGGGTCTAAATTTTAAACCTTGAAGGGGCGACTGAGGAAAATAAAAAATGATCGAAAGAAGTGTCAACATTTAAATGAGGAGGCGCACCAAAATTAAATTCAAATTACATTGAGACATGGCCTACACTTAAATAAATTAAAACAAGACAGGAACTCTACTCAATAAATATTGTATAGACACGGGACCTTTATCGAGATAGAAAAATATCAGGTAGGGCCTTCATTGAATGTTATTTGTTTTGAGACAATGCCAACATTAGATATAAATTGTATTGCGAATGGACCTATGTTAAACATAAGTATATCTAGACCAGGCCTACACTAAGTGAAATTATTTGTGTACGTTTCACACAACACAAATGGGCATAGATAAGGTTTCAACCTGTGCCCCTATCAAAATGGCCACTTTTTCTACAATAAGCGCTAGTGAAAGAAAATCGTAACTACATAAGACTACAATAATCAATTATATATGACCACAGTCAAAATCTGATTAAAATCAAGCTATAACTACATGAAAACTATCTTATCTTCTGATTATATCTTCTCATGAAAAGGAAGTTGTGTCAAAATAGGATTTAAGCTTAACGCCTGAACGTGGTATAAAACTAAAATCCCAGTAGAGCACCATGTTCATCATTAATTAGTTATAAATGTAATCCGTTTAAGCTACAAGAATTCGCGGTATTTTATTCATGTACACCTCTGTCATTTTCTCAAAAAATATTTTTACGTTTTCAAAGTTATTTTTCAATGCTAATTCTATAAATGGAAGTAAATAACACGTCAGACACAAAGGTAAAAACTCATTCAGACTTGGATCAAAAATCAGAGGTGGAAGTAAAAAAATCAGTCAGACGCTGAGGTAGAAAAACACCGCGAGATGCAAAGTTAAAACGAAAAAAATTCCCTGTAACTTTTAAAACGCTGTGTAATGAGTACACAACGTTTTAAAAGATACAGGGAAATTTTTGTCGGTTGTTATAATGATCTTAATGAGACATATATTTCTCTGTGCGATATGCTGGTCGTATTTGATGCTTATAAGTTTGCCTGTAGGTTCCGTTGTTGTGTATTTTTTCTCATTTGAGAACTTGAGATTACTAACCTAATTTGACCATACAAAGCAGGTGTCGTCGTTGAAGTGTTATACACTTACACTGCCAGAAAACCAGGTCTCTTTGTGTTATATATCGTCTTAGTTTTAATTTATTTGTGTTTTGAGTATTGTTATGTTCCCATGTTTGTTTTTTGTTTTGTTTGGTTTTTTTGTTATGACAGAACTTTTGAACGGGTCGTCTATAAAGGCGCTCAAACTTTACAGATGCGAAAAATCTATTAATCGTTTTTTTTGTGTAAATTTTAAATCTTGAGAAAAAAAATACAGACGGCAATTATATATTCGAAAGTCCTCTTGACCTTTTTTACCTGTCGCTACGTGCCGATGAAAATAGAACGTGAATTGCTTTAATTGCCTCCCACTTTGCCCTTGGTCTATAGATACAGTTGGCTGTAAGTGGACCTGTCGCGTTCTGTTCTAGATCGTATCATTGTATAGCGTCGGGAGTGGCAGTGATGCCCTTGATAAAGACAACAATGTCCGAGCATGTCATTCATTTAATAATATTGTCCAAATTTAAATCTAATATGAAATTATATAGAAATAAAAACACGTATCAATAAACAACATTTGTTGTCACAGTGGATGTATGTAAAGTGACCTTTCAACCCGCGGAATGTCTTATTAAGATGCGAGATCTTTAAAGAGCTATACACATGGGACGTACTCGAAGACAGTTCTCTAGAAAAAAATAAAGTCATACTCTGTATAAGGATTTCCAGCATCTAATGATTAAATATGTTATTGATTATAATCAATTTAATATCTCTCTCTGTCTGTCACTCTGTCTCTGTCTCTCTCTCACTCTCTCTCCCTCTATCTCTCTGTCTCTCTCTCACTCTCTCTCTCTCTCTCTCTCTCTCTCTCTCTCTCTCTCTCTCTCTCTCTCTCTCTCTCACACACACACACACACACACACACACACACACACACACACACTCTCTCTCTCTCTCTCTCTTGATGATCTTGATTACACGGTCACCAAAACCCCCTTGTCTCAGATCGTGAGAGAGCACGGATCATGTGTAAGTGAACTGCATGGTTCCGTATCACTGGATTTATATGTATCTTATACATACTGTAACATAATACTCTCAGGGATATTGTAATCTTCGTCATTACGATCTAACCATATTGGTTTACGCTGCTTTGTGTGCCTAAAAACACATTATGGTCATTAATGGGTATCCATGCGACATAACATTTCCCGTACCATCCCCGCAAGTACACATTAATCTATCGGTCTACATGCGAATATTTCTATCTGTATAGTGACGTATGACTGCCATCTTCTTGTCGTCTTGCTAAACATTTTCTCATTAACACGACTTGCCATCATAATAAACGTCTTATGAAGGCGACTAGTCGTGAAAATTATCGCGATAAATTTATCCTTGATTCACATTAAGTATCATGACAACACAACACCACTTTTTATCGCGATAATGCTTGGAAATGACTTGGGTTAAAACTTTACTTTCTCTAAAACGAGACTGGCTAGTTATTCAGGTACCTCAATAAGCTACACACGGAATGAATTAGTTACAGTAGAGCTCGCCCTATACTCGCTAAAGCAGTCTTCTCCTTATCACCGAAAATCCAAAATACTAAGGCCTCGCGAATAACGCGTCAATCTGCATGTATTTTTACAGAAGTAAAATTTCAACACATGTCGCTTTCGAGCAGTTTTGATACAAAACAAATGTGTTGTCATGATATTTAAGACGTCTAAACACAATGTTTCTATAACGATTTGCGGTGATAAATAATCATGACCACACGACAGGTAGATGGTAGTTACATGCCACCATACATCTGACCTAGACGCTCTCTTTATGTACGGCTGATTTCAGTGATAGTTCTGTACCCGATGTGAGAGTATAAATCTCAAGCACAGTTAAACACAATGAAGTATTTGTCCTACTATTGTAAGTGTTGGCGTCTTGCTTCAGGATGTCACCTAGTTGATATATATATATATATATTATATCCATGTTTGTAATATACAATATTTTTCATGTAAACATCTCTTATCAATTTTACATACTATTTATAGGACAACTTACCAGTGAATCATCCAGTAAGAGACCGATAGGCAGCAGGAAAGCGGCAATGATGAGGAAAATATTTCGTAAAGCCCATAGACTCCTGAAAAATGTCACTGACGCCATCGCGGTATTTATTCTTATAAATCCCGATCACACAAGAGATCCGTCCGTGATGTCACTGTAACCAGTTCTGCTTGTCTGCACCGCGGCGTATATCGTATTTACCTTATAGGGATCTCCCGGGGTGTTATTTATCTTGCTACCCAAGCAGAACGTTCAGTGTGTTGTTGTCATTTATAACTGATACACAAGTTTTACTACCGTGTTTGGGGAACGACCCGCTCCATTTTAGCGGCTAGCTATATTTTGATATTTATATACTGAAAGGCTAAAAAAGTTGGTAATTTACATGTATGTATGTATGTATGTATGTACAGTATTTGTAACTTTAAATTCACCACATGAAAAACGATTACACATTCTCGTTGGAGCTGAGGTGACTATTAATAGCCAAGTTTGAATTTTTGAATACCTTTCCCAGCCATTCTATTGACATATTGGAATTTGTACAAAATGTACAATTCACGGGAACAATTTAGAATTCCTTATCAAGTGATTACCACTGACACTGATACTGGATATTGAACCCAGAATAACATTAAATCTTTACAATACGATTTGAAGGGTCTGCTCAGTTACCGCAATATTCCGCGTAATGTGAATTTTTTTTCCTTGGAAAATTATAAGTCCGAAGTAAGAAGTGCACACATTAAAAAAGCTAAACTATTTTACTGTGTGGACCTTTTGTATACTACTTTTAATATCAATATTATAAAGTTGTGAGTGCAAATGATGAAATGGCGAGCTTTATGTTCACTTCTGATACTGTAGTGCCGACGTCACGAAAGTTACGCCTGTGACGGAGCCTCTACTTTGTCACGGGTTACATGATAATTACTTAAGATTCTTTCTAAATAATCACCCTACTTATCTATAAAATAATAAACATCCACCTCACATCGCTGGACACTTTCGGATTTACACAGCTGGCACTGCTCTCCTATCAGCCAATTAGATTGATACACCGGACAATCTGCAATTCTATGAGACGACGTTGCACAGCCCGTTTCAATGCCCAAGGCGGATACTCGCATTATTGACTGATTTGTGATTTTCCTTTCATAGGAGTACCTTCATTAAATAGACAATACAACCAGAGTCTGACCGAACCTCTGCAGATCAGAGAGGCCGACCACCTATACATGTTACTGAACCTATATAGAACCAAGTGAGGCAGATATTCGATACGTGTTATACACCCCCTATAGAACCTTAGTCTGACCTTCTATATATGTTACTGAACTTCTATAGAACTACAGAGGCCGACCTCATATACATGTTATTGACCATTATACAACACCATAGTCTAACCTCGTTTATTGTTACTGAACCTCTGACCACCTATACATGTTACTGACCCTCTATACAACCACAGTGTCTGAGCTTCTATACATGTTACTGAACCTCTATAGGACCACAGAGGCCGACCTCCTACACATCTAATTGACCCTTTATAAACCACAGATTCCAACTGAGCCATAGAGCAGACATCCTGTACATGTTACGGACCGTCATATAACACCAAACAAAATCAAAGTACTGAAAGTACTTAAAGGCTAAACGTATTGAAAAATGTTCACAAACAACCGCAAAGCTATATTACTTTCCCCATACTCTTACACTTCGGAATGCAAAAATTACTAAAATAAGAGAACCAGAGGCTATTTTTCTTAATTTTAAGCGATTTTATATCTTCTTTAATTCTTATTTCAAATTTGACGACAATAATGTGAACAAATCGAAATAGGTAAAAAAAAAATAAATAAAAAAATACACACAACCATATATTTATCGCCAACAAGCCAAATGATAAATAGCTCTATGATGAAGTTGACTAAATAAAACCTTTGAAATACCCAAAATGTTGCAATTACTATACTATCAATATGAGGATTTAGACAAATCGAAAGGACTTTATACCTACTTCTTTATTTTGAATGTATTGCAAAGTAATAGTCCTTACTTATTATAATTATATTTGTAGTTGAGGAAAGTAGATAAGGTATACACAGCATTTCAGATAGGTTAAAGTGTAAGTAATTACATTAAATGTATTTACATGCATACATTGAAGTATCATGGTTAGACTTTTCTTCCAGTAATTATGTCTATAAAGACATAGTTCTTTGAGATTAAACCAGATTTCCATATATATACAAAATTTACAATATTTTCACTATAGCTACTACTATTTCTGATCTCCAATGCATTAGATAATGTCACCATGACACGCTAAATGAATGAATATGTTATGGAAATATTTCGTTCTAGTTAATTGATAATTATTAACATGAATATTTTGGGGTTTTTTTTATACGCGCTTTGTTTGAAGGAATATTTTTATTTCAATGAACTTTGATATACATTAACAAACCTAGAGAAATCAGCACAATCAACCTTCATCAAATAAAACTAAAAGACAAAAAATGTAAGTTATAACAAAGTCAACATCATGATCAGGACAGTATTAAAACTATATTATTTATAAATCATGAGCACCAAATGCACCTTGCCTACGAAGCGCAAACTTTTTATCTTGAAAAACTTGAAAAAGTGTGATGGCGGTGGGTGTGAAAAACCTGAAAAAGTGTGTGCGCGTGGGACGAACAGTCCAATTCGGTGACGTCGAATGAGGTAAAGTGATGTTATATATTAAGACGATCTTGCCACAACGACAAAGATTAAAACAAAATTGATGTTCTGTTTGTAAGTTTTGTTTGTTTATAAGTGTTGTTAGTTGATAATTCAAACCAAGCCCCCAGACTAATTCTTATAACGTACAGTGTTCTGTACGCTTACGTCATTTCGAGAATTCCGTAAAATATATTGTTCAAAATTTATCAATAGTTCAACCACACTGTGCTTCTTGTTTGAAATATATAGTAATCGTATTGTTAGTAAAAAATAAACTAATTTCGGATGCTTTTAAAATAGCGATTTGAAAGATCGCGTATTATTTACGCAGAAAATTGCCGCTAGATGGCTCTAACTCTTTTCTATATTTCAGCCAATAAGAAGGCCAGGATAGGTAAATTTTGTCTGAAAGGCCGTCTCAATAGGCTTTGTGTACTGAGTACGTTTAGCCTAAAAATGGCATGCTGTCTTTTCATTTTAAGCGGTGGAGGGGAGACAACTTTTATACATTTACTCGTAACATAATCATTTACAAATGTGAATTTGGTTTCAATTTCACGCCACTATTCCAAATGACAAATCGTTTTATTTTTTAATCGATTGACATACGCGCCGCCATGTTGCCTTCTAATGAAACAAACTGACCTTCCATAGAAAATTAGACCAAATGTACCTTGACATTTCTAAACCAATGATTTTAATCTTGAAAAACTTGAAAAATTTGATTGGGTGTGAAAAACCAAAAATCGTGTTATTAATCATAAACCGGTGTGCTGGAAAATAAAGTAATGATGACGTAAATGACATTTAAAGTGATGTTATATATTCCAACATTTTCACCAACGGGTACAGTAAGCAGTAAAGATAATATATAGTGATGTATCTGTTTGTAAGAAATGTTTCTTTTGACTTTTTATAAGTGCTGTTATGACTTTTAAAGATAATACTATCGGTTTTCTTTCTTTTATTTTTTTTCTTTTTTTTTCTATATATTTGCAAACTTTTATAAAACATATATGAAAATGTGATTGTTTGCAAAATTTATCAACCACACTGTTTTTGCCTTGTTTGAAATATATAGTAATCTTGTTATTAAAAAATAACAGTGATATCATGTCTCTTAACCTTTACTGATATTCTTTCGTTATAATTTAATTTTGGTCGCTCCAAAACAATTCCCTTATACATTGTACTTCATAAGAAATTATTAGTAATGTAAATTTGAAAAAAGAAAACAAAATCTGCTTTTTTACCTCGAAAGGAAGGTTCTATTTTTCTTCATGTTCCCAAGGTAACAGTGAAGATGGCAGACATGTAACATTTATATCCTAATAGCTGTTATATATGAAAGAGTTTTATTTGGGTGTTTGTAATCTCAAAGGGACACATACAATAACAACGTCGGCACCCATATTGCCGTCCTTAACGTCGAGTTGCCATATATGAAAATATAAACGGTCTACACGTGACATAAATTATCTAATGAATGCGAATATTGCCTTTCGGGTGAGAAAAAGGCTTTTGGGAGCCCTTAATTTGATAAAGTATGGGGATAATCAGGTGTTCCGGATGACACCCACTCACTTATCATTTATCAATCCAAGTAAGATATGACACGTCGAAAACAAGGTCTGTAAGAACAGAACCAACAGGCATACGAATGAACATCGAAAACATAGCTTCATAACGCACAAGGAAAGGAATATGTATTTTCCATTGCACTAGAATGCATACCAACAAATTCAATAACGACAACTGGAGATCATTTGGACTCAATGCTGTTTTTGAAACACTGGAAACGATCTGCACTCATTCACAGCAGGTCTTCGCTTCTGGAAAAATCGAGTGCACATGTAATTACGTAACCACTTGTTTTCTGTAAACAACAGAAACACATTGGACATTGTATTTAAGCTGAAACAACGGATACCCCCTTAACAAGTTAATGTTTATGGGAACTGAAGTAAAGTGCCTCTGGTTTATTGATACATGTAGGAAATAGTTCACCAAAGCTAAGGTTAAAAGTTTAAGATATTTGACACTTTAATAGCCACGTTTTAATGTGACTTCTTCTAAAGCGAAAAGTGGTAAGAGGGAGGACATTTTCAGTGTGAGGTAATTGTCGGGCACGTTTTACTCGTGCAGATCGACTCATGACTAATATTCGTCGGAAAGATGATACCCGGTCACGGGAGGAGTCGCGGAGACGGAAAATCTGTCAAAAACAAAAACAAAACAAAACAAAACAAAACAAACAAACAAACAAACAAATCGTACAGACAGCAGTGCTGAAAAAAGTATCATCCCCCTGTGGACTGTTGTGTGGCAGTTAATTTCTCGAAACAATATGGTAACTTCACTAGATTTGTTTGCATTTTAACGTATCTGTGTGTTACGCCATAAATAATGTTGAGAAAAACGTGACATTTATAATTTGTTACTGGGTGTAAAATTGAAGTGGACAACAGCTATGTACACAAACACTTCAAATATTGGGCAGTATATTTCAGTATTTGCGGAAGAGTGACATTTGAAACTTACCACTCAAACTGTAAGTGTTTTGTGTACACTCATTGGCGAGGCATATAAACCCACACATATGCAGGTTACACGTGTTCCACAGGACATGGATGAGGACCGTTACATAGGTTGAATTTTAAGCTGAGTTTGTCATAAAAAGATGAAGTTTACGACCTATTAGCCGTGTTAAAACAATAATAAGTAGATATGGTGTTCACTGAAGTGACAGGTTAAGGGTTACATCACTGGATGTAAATAGAGTGTGATAGAGACGAATTTAAATGCAACGTTTGTTACTGTCCACGCCTAACCAACTGTGACCCTTTAAAGCTAGCAAACGAAACATACGGCAAATGGCGCGATGAATTTGCCACACAAGACAAAGAACGCTATACGTCGCGTGGATACATGCACATGTGGGAATCTGACAACGGGCGCGTGATCATCTCTGATGTTTACGTTTTTAGGACCTTTGTGTGATAGTGTCACTCGCTGATTTTAACTGAAAGCTGTAAATGATTCAAAGCTGTTTACTCTAAAACGTGGTACATTCATCGGAGGGGTAACATCAAGTGACTACACTCGGACAGGTAAGTTTATTCCCGTCTTTAATACCAAAGGACCATGGACACGAATAGGGGCTGGTGTTGTAGCAAAGGGACCATGGACACGAATAGGGGTTGGTGTTGTAGCAAAGGGACCATGGGCACGAACAATACGGTAGTGTTACATTGAATTTGGGTTGGGTAACTTAAAAAGTACAAAAACGGTAATTTATGAATACATTTTCCTTCTCAACCAACTTGTATCTGTTGTTAATCAGACGATACCTATGTATGACAAATGTTTAATTAAAATGAAAGTTTGTTTATATATATTCTCTTGTTTGTACGAAGTAAACATTCTACGTGTGATTTAAAGTGGCGACAAACGGATATTACTGTAATACACAATGTTTAGGTAAACGTAAAATTAACACTGAATATCATTAAAAGTGAACCTCTTCGTTAGAGTTATTATCATTATAGAGTTAACTTTTATATTATACATACAAAGAGATCTCCTGGTCTCCCTAAATAATACTGTAAGTGTAATGTCGTGTGTAAACATTCTGTTGCCTGTATGATATAGACTGCACTCCCTCGACAACTAACACATGTTGGTTACCGGATGATTGGCAGGTTGATGTGCATTTAATTAATGTCGCATTACATTATGGTAAGCATGTCAAACTTCATCTCGGTCAAAGGTCAAGTTCACGTGCAGGTCATGCGAACTCTGATAAGAGCGAGTCGCTGATGTATAATTTCAGTTAATTTGAATATTACATTATGCACACATATCATTGTCAAACTGCTAACTAAATATAGCTCTTAGGTGTCTACAAGTATTAATGATGATGCGTTAATTAGTTAAAGCTGTAGTATACTTACAAAAACTGATGTTGACACTATAATAAGATGTAACTATTTTAAATACTTGTTACCAGATATGAACTCGGGTCTCAATTATTTATGAATAGACATGTACACAACCGTTACTGTAAAACTATAGACACACATGTACAGTCGTAAATGTATCAAATATGGAATGTCATACATAGTCGTTACTCTACATGTTTGTTAATAAATAATAAAGTAACGACTATACATATCTGTCTATAAATAATACAGTAACACCTGTACATGTCTGTCTATAGATAATACAGTAACACCTGTACATGTCTGTCTATAAACAATACAGTCACGACTATACATGTCTGTCCATAAACAATACAGTAACGACTATACATGTCTGTCTATAGATAATACAGTAACGACTATACATGTCTGTCTATAAATAATACAGTAACGACTATACATGTCTGTCTATAAATAATACAGTAACGACTATACATGTCTGTCTATAAATAATACAGTAACGACTATACATGTCTGTCTATAAATAATACAGTAACGACTATACATGTCTGTCTATAAATAATACAGTAACGACTATACATGTCTGTCTATAAATAATACAGTAACGACTATACATGTCTGTCTATAAATAATACAGTAACGACTATACATGTCTGTCTATAGATAATACAGTAACGACTTTACATGTCTGTCTATAAATAATACAGTAACGACTATACATGTCTGTCTATAAACAATGATCAGCCAAGGTTAAAACAATGAACAGCTCAGTTAAAAGCTAAAATAGCCAGCAGCTTAATTTAAAACAATGACCTGATAAGTTTAACACAATGACAAGCAAAGTTTAAATAATGAACAGCTTAGTTTTAAACAACGACCAGCTTAATTAACAACAATAAACAACTAAGTTTAAAGCTTAAGTTCAGAACAATGACCTGCAAAGTTTAAACAATGACAAGCTAAGTTTAAACAATGACCAACTAAGTTACAAACATTTGAACATCTAAGTCAGCAGCTAAGTTTAATGCTACAATGGACAGCAGTTTAGTTTAAAAGAGTGACCACAGATCAATTAGAATAAATAAACTGCTAAGATCAAAATAGTATAGAGCTACAATGGCCCGCGGATAAGTTTATAACAATGGCAAGCTGATTTCAAAACATTGACCACCATAGATTAAAACAATAAACTACTAGGTTTAAAAAATGACCGGCTTATATATAACAACGACAAGCTAAGATTATAACAATTGCCAGCTAAGTATAAAACAATGAAAAGCTAAGTTCAAAACAAAGACCTGCTATGTTTAAAACAATGAAAGCCTTGGTTTGAAACAATGTTCAAATAAGTTTAAAAAGATGGCCTGCTAAGTTAAAAATAATGACCAGCTAAGTTTAAAACAAATGAGATGCTCATTTTAAAGCAATGCCACTGTGACCAGCGTTGTTTGAAATACAAACCTGCACAATTCACAACAATAAACAGCTAAGTTTAACGCTACAATGGCCAGCAGCTCAATGTTAAACAATGACCAGCGTATTTGAAAGCAATGGGAAGCTAATTTTATACCAATGACCAGCTAAGTTTATACCAATGACCAGCGAAGTTTAAATCCAATGACAAGCTAAGTTTATACCAATGACAAGCTAAGTTTATAGCAATGACCAGCTAAGTTTATACCAATGACCAGCTACGTTTACAACAATGAACAGCTAAGTTTAAAACTACAATGTCTACAGCTAAGTTTAAATGAATGCGAGCTTATTTAAGAAAACACAATAACAAGCTAAGTTTAAACAGTGGCCGGCTAAGTTTATCATAAATACCAGCCCAGTTAAAAGCTACAATGACCAGCAGCTAAGCTCAAAACAATGACCTGCTTATTTCAAAGCGATGACAAAATAAGTTTAAACAATGACTAGATAAGTTTAAAACACTGACCAGCTACAAATTTAAGTTTAAACAACGACCAGCTAAACTTAAAACAATGATCTGATATAATTAAAACGATAACAAAATAAATTTAAACATTGACCAAATAAGTTGAAAACAAAGACCAACTAAGTTTAACACAATGACCAGCTTAGTTAAAAGCTACAAAGGCCAACCGCTAACTTCAGAACAATGGCCAGCTGATTTTGAAACATTGATCAATTAAGTTTAAAACAGAGACAAGCTCGGTTTTAAACAATTGCCAGCTGGTTTTAAAACAATGACCAGCTAAGTTTAAAACAATGACAAGTGTCAGTTGGTTTTATAACAATGACCAGCTAAGTTTTAAATAGTATTTAGTAGTGTGTAAAACAATGAACAACTTATTTTAAAGCTACAATGGCCAGCAGCTAAGTTTAAAACATTGGCAGCTTATTTCAAAACAATGACCAGCTATATTCAAAACAATGAACAGCTAAGTTTTAAACAATACTAGTTAAGTTTACAACAATGACCAGCTTATTCTAAAACACTTAGCAAGTTAGTTTAAAACAATGACCTGCTAACTTTAAAACATTGACCTGCTAAGTTTAAAACAATGGATGAGGGTGTTGAAGATATGTGTGTTTTGAATGTTGTAAGCAAGACAATATCAATTGGGTATCGGTTTCCATACTCCTCTCAGAGATCAGATACTTTCTCTCCAATCATAGCGTTTTTTAAAGTCCTTTATCACTTCATCAGCCCTCAGTCTTCTGTAAACTAGTTTTCGGCGATTATTCAGGTTAGAAACACACATACCTGTACAAAAAGTTTGTGTCGCTTTATAATTCTCTTCATGACAAACCACTGACCTAGTATTGGTTACACCAATGAGGACCTTACTGTCTACTCTTCTGACTAGATAGATACTTCTTTGTCAATACTTGTCTTGGTTGTGTGGCAAAATAGCCGGGGCCCCCTGTCTATTGTATCATTGTGGTTTCCATTGTAACAATTTCTCTTTGTCTTCGTCTTTTGTTATTTTTACAGATTCCCCCCTTGTAATGTTTCTTCGGTTTAAACGATGGTGGTTTTAAAGTGAAAGAGCCCTTTGTGCTTAAAATGTATACCTATGTAATGTTTAATTTGACTAGCGATTGATTTGCTCTGTAGGACTTGAGGTCGACGAAAACATTGATATTTTCTGAAAAACTAGATTTATAACACTTGCCGATGATTCAAAGATGGATTTGTAGTTATTTATTATATATCTATATATAGATACGCGGTTAAACGACTTTTTGCTTAATGATTTTTTTTATTATTACATTTTTACATATATCAAGTGTATCACATTATGTATAAAGACAGTTAGTTTAAAGAAATATGAACATAAAGAGGTTAATCAATAATTATAAAAAGGAAATCCTTATCTCAACAGTCGGGGTTTGTAAATTTTTGCGTCATATATGATAACGCATGCGCACAAAACACCGTCGCCTGTAAACAAAAATGGCTTCAGTTGGCAAATTCATATAACTTATTTCGTAATTCTGTATGACTTAAAATTATCAAATAATATTTAATATACCCATAACAGGATCAAGTGCTGAAAAAAGGGATATTACAGAATGCGTCATTACCGTTGCTGTCATTTCTGCCCCCTAGCAAGTGTTCGAGTTTACAAAAATGAAATGCCTCGTTTTCAAAACTATCGCGCGACGTTATCAGCGCAAAATCTGAGAGGGGTTTCCTGAAGTGGTCAAGCTGGACATGGGAAATCGACTGTTAATATCGGGATAGCATAGAAACGTTAGAGGGGTTGGGTCTGCGTTTGTGTGTGGGTGTGTAGCTCTATCTTATTTCTCCCATGTTTATACAAAATGCACAAAATGAGTAGCGCATTAAAGACTTAAAAAGTAGATACCATTATTGTACTCTGAAAGATTACTAACAAGAGAGCACAATTCAGCTGTCGAAATAATTCCAATATCATGTGTAATAATCTATATTTCTTAGCAGTAGTTTATTTCAATTCTCTGTTCATGTCCTATTGTATTGATTTGTAGTTTTAGAAAATAACTTAATGAATCATTTTATAAAAAAGTTGATTTTTTATTGATACTCAGCTTTCTCTGAACGCTGTTGTAAACATTTTAGCACAGGTGAATAAACATAGAGTCCAACAACTCGCGATTTAAAGAAAATAAGTTTTTCTGTCAGCAGACATATATCTTATTACGCCATCCGAACA